CCCCATGACCTCCAGGTTCAATGCCACCAAGAACTTCCCAAGGTCCTTGGTTTATATTCAACACCAAGGACAAAACTCACGTGGCCTGTCCTCTGACCATGTAGATTTTCATTCTGTCCTTTAAATACCACAGGTGTGTCCTACCTCAGGGTCTTCACGCATGCCGTATTATGTTTCCGTCTGCCCAGCTTTGAGATGGCTGCCTCCTGGTTGCTCTGGTTCAGTTCCCAGTGCCCCTACTTCCAAACTTGCTCCCATTACCCAGTCCATTTGTTGCACACACACACACACACACACACACACCCCGACTCTCCATCTTAGGAATGATGGATAATGTGTTTCACTGCTCTGTTTCGGGGCCTGGAAGAAAACAGCCATCCCTCAGTGTAGGTGATTGGTTCTGGGACCCCTTCGGATACCCAAATCCCAGATGTTTGAGTCCTTTGTCTAAAATTGCATGGTTGCATATAATCTGTGTCTTTGTCCTTCAGGCAGACTCTGGGCTCCTTGTACACACACAACACGTGGGAATGGTTGATAGAGCTGTACTATCTTGTTTACAGTAATTGTAAGGGATATCCGTGCATGTTTGGTGTAGCTGTAGATTTTTTTCCCTGCAAAAGGTTTTCAAACTGTGGGTGGCTCAGGCTTTGGGTACAGAAGGAACGCTTGTGAGTACAGAGGGATGGCTGAGTGTGAGTGTTGTGGGGGTCTGCAATAACACAGTGAGTGAGTGAGCGAATGAATGTATGAAACCTAGAGTCAATCCATCCAAGCTAGGACTCTTCTGTCTGGCCACATTGCCTGGAGCTGGTCTGAGATGGAAAACCGGGAAATGACTGACAGAGGGTGTGGCTGCCCTTGGCAGTGGTGGTGGGTGTTGAAGCATGGGTAACTCAGTGTACTGACTGGGGTGAGCCTCCGGTCAGCTGCGGAGGGGAAGGCCTTCCTGCCTGGCAGTCTCGGTAGCATAACTCTGGCTCTCGTCTAGTGCTGAGATGCCAAGGGACAGACAGGCCACTGCCTAGACCTTTAGAGTGGGTTACATTGGTACTGCCAGACCTGTTTGTCAGTCAGCTGACCAGTCTGGGAGGGTACTTTTCACCGTTCATCCTGCCCGAGAGGGTGGTGACAGGTCCAGACAAGGACTGTGCTGTGTTCCAGAGCCTTGCTGTGTGTGGGGTTGGTAGATGAGCTTGCTTCTTGATTGTGTCTTAGGGGAAAGTGCTGGTTCCACAAGACCTTGCCCTCCAAGGCTCAAGAGGACTAGGAGCATTGCAAGCTGCTGGCCATTTCCCCTCGTCTACCCAGGAAAGTGGGATGTGGCCTTGGGTGGGATGGGGTGTCCACCTGGTCTCATGGGACAGCCTGTTTTAGGGACTTCCCCAGAGCTGAGTCACGGTGTTTAGCAACAGTCCTCCCAAAGCCACAGGCCCTGTGGTCCAGCCCCTTTCAGAAGTGAGATGGAGGCCTTCAGGGTCAGCCCCAGCCCCTCACCTCCTGCTTCTACCTATCATTCCTGACTACGTCCTCAGTCCCAAACCCTGTCTGTTAGAAACTTGGGTGACTTGCTGTTGTTTGGGCCCTTGAAGCCAACCCTTCAGCTTGTTGGCTGAGTCGTCATTGACCCTAACTAAAGCCTGCTGCGTGCTCTGTGCCATATGTGCTCAAATTCTGAGGCCCCACAGGACAAGGCCTCAGCTCACCCAGACTGAGGTGGGAGAATCGGGGACTCTAAGGACACTTGATAGGTACTGAAAATAGTTTATGCCAAGCCACACAGCCTGTACCCATCTCCGGAGCAAGATCACAGGAAGTAGATGGCATTGTGTAGACTGTCATTGTTTTTCAGGAGGCAGAAGGGGCACTGGCTCTGGCCTAGGATGGTGGGGTGCCACACTGAGTGTCCCTGCAAAGTAGTAGTTGGGGAAGGGAACGGCCTCTGGTATGGTCTGGGTCCTTGGTCCCTCTGGGTGGCTGTGGAGCATCTCTGGAGAACCGTGGGCTGCCTCGCCTGCCATTTCCCTCATATTTCCTTTCTGATAAGCTCTTCCAGTGGGAAAGCACAATGTGGCTAAGCTTGAGGACTTCTAGACTTAGAGTGAAGCCTTTTCACAAATTGATGTGGTCTTGGGTACCCCTCCTTCCTCCTCACTCTCGCGATCCTGTTATCTGTTTTCATTCTTGCCTCCCAGGAAATTAGGGGAGTGGGCCTCTTAGCCATTTCAGATGCCATGGCTGGAGGTTGGGGTGGTGGTAGATGCTGCTGGTAGATCCTGCAGAGACCAGGGGTACTGTGAATAACTTACCACTCAGCCAATAGGACGCCCAGCTTAAACAAGCAAACAAATAAAAGACTGCCCCAAGCATCCCCAGGTTAGTTACCCTATAACAATGCAGCCAGTTTTAGATGGCAGAAATCGCCCTCCTCTGGGCCTCCTGGGCCATGGGTGGTGGGCAGTGAGCAGAGCTCTGATTCAGTACCAAGAATCAGGAGAGAGGCTCAGCAGGTGCCTGTCCTTGGCTGGCACTGATTTCTGGGGTGTGAACCTGAGTCATCTCAGTGACCCTGCTTTCTCATCCGGAAGCTGGAAGAGCCCGGGTGTTCCTCCCAGCGGTGTGGGTGTCTAGCGCGCTGTATGAGGAACCTTCTGTTCGACTAGCAGCAGAGAAACCAGAGGATCACCATGCCTTCCCCCTCCCCTTTTCCTTTTCTTTCTGATTGGGGTGTGGGGAGCTGGAGAGATGGCTCAGTGGTTAAGAGCCCTGGCCACTGGCTGCCTTCTACAGGACCCAGGTTTGGTTTTCAGTACCCACATAGTGGCTCACAGCTGCAACCCTAGTTGCAGGGGCTGCGGTGCCCTCTTCTGGCCCCCATGGGCACTGCATGCACATAGTACACATACACAGCATATACATACACCCCACACACTTTAGAAAGAAAAATGTGTGTAACACACACATCATACCACAGCCCACGTGTGAAGGTTAAAGGGACCCCCCACCTAACCTCCCACCTTGTTTGAGACAGGGTCTTTTGGTGATCACTGTGTAGGCCAGGCTAGCAAGCCTCTGGGCATCTGTAGATTCTCTAACTCCTGTTTCTCTGTAGGTAGAAGGATGTAAGTAAATTTAGCTTTGCATAGGTTCTAAGGATCCAGACTCAGGCCCTCACACTCAAGTGGCAGCATTTTTACCCACTGAGCCATTTCCCCAGCCTTTTTTTTTTTGTTAAGCTAAAGAGAGTTTTCCTCAAAATTTAGCTCAGGGTTCTCCCTGACTGCGTACTAACCCAGGCTTCCTGTACAGGAGATCTATCTGCCCTTGGCTCCCCTTGGGAGTTGCTCTCAGTGGTGGGGGGGGGGGTGGCCATCACACTGGCTGTTTGACATGGAATGGTAGGATGTAGGGGAAGATGCAGAGGACATAAAGAGGTCAAGCTAGGAGCCCAGGGGCTGACATGAAGGCCAAAGGGGGAGAGGTTGGGGTGATGGTGGCCACACTTTAAGTGTTCAAAGTCCAGCTGTGTGACACAATGGTGCTGGACAGGATTTAGAACCAAGACCTGTTCGAACACTCTAGACGCACGTAGCCTGGCAGGAAGGTTAGCGTCCAGCTGGCAGGGACAGAATGATGTAACAGGTGCCTGGCAGGAGAGGGGGCATTCAGAATGCTGTGAGAGGCAGGTGGCCTGGAGGGACTAGCTCTGGCTGTGGGTGCTTTCCTGGGGCAGCATTGCCCCCCCCAGGTTGTTGAGGGCACCGGATGGTGGGTGTTGGAAGAGGACACCGTGTATCAAATGCAAGAGTGGGGTGAGGGCAAGGGGAAGGTGGGGGCTGGCAGTGACATGGAGGAGGGCAGCAGAGACAATCCTAGGAGGTCTGCAGGGAGGAGGGAAGCGTTAGTGCAGTCAGGTGTTGGGGTGGTTGTTTGTGTGTTTGTTTGGCTAAGAGAGCAAGAACGAGAGTGAGGGGGATGGGATGGGATGGGACAGGCAGGAAGACCAGTAAAGCAACAGTCGGGACAGGTGGTCTGGGTGACCAAGCATGGAGCAACGGAAACAGCCGAAGCCTGCCAGGCCTCACTGAGCCCTGCAGTGGGACAGGTGGGCAGGATGGGGAGGGGACAGGCATCCGGGGACCCAGCTCCATCTCTCATCCTACCCAGCTCTGCTGGGCAGAAAGGGCCTGGCCTGGGGCCTTGACGCTAAACTTTCCTTGCCAGAGGCTGTGCCCTGAGATCTCCCTGTGTTGTCCTCTGGGTTTCTAGTTAGTCACCCAGGGCCTTGCATCTAGAGTCCCATCTCTCTCTCTGGCCCCCAATGATAAAGAACCCAGGAGGGAGTTTTCCCCAACTCCATCTCCTCAAGGGATGGGAGATGGTCTCTGGCAGAGCTTGGGGTCTCACAGTGATGTTACAGGCAGGAATCTTTATGTATGTGACACCCAACGGGAGCTGGAAGGCAAGGAGCTGGTTCTGTGGTTCCTGCATCCCCACCCCAATTCTGATTCAGAAAGAGCCAGGCTGGCCAGCCGCCCACATGTATGGTAATGACAGGCAGGCAAGCATCTGGGCCTGGCCTGACCATTCCGTTCTCTCTGACTCAGGCTGAGGTGTCCACCAACTCCACAGGGATCCAGGTTAGACAGCAGGAAGTTCTTGCCTGCAGACCGGCAGGCTGTCTGGAACCTACTTACCATTTAAGGTGGTCTGTTCAGTGTTCCAGCCTAGGCAGGGATGGGGGGGGTGTGGAACTTGGGGTGATTATTTTCCTCTCAGGTGTCAGAGAAAGTATGTCTCTGGGACCAAACTCTAGCCCAATTTATAAATATTCTTCCACATTAGGAGGTGTGGGAGAAGAAATGGCCAAGTTGGGAAGTTTACTGCTGGAAGTTTCCAGGTGTTTTGATGGGAAATCGGGGGTTAAATGATGGTCTTTGGTCTGTGGACTTGTGAGCCTAGGCTGTATTAACCCTTTGCCTCCTACTCTTTGCTTGCAGCTCTCTGATTGCCCTGTCTGCCTTTTACACTTGCTGGACTTGAGGTCTGACCCCACACCTGCCTGTTACCTTGCGAGTGCCTGCCCATTTCTAGCCGGCACCATGCCTATCCTCAAGCAGCTGGTGTCCAGCTCTGTGCACTCCAAGCGCCGCTCTCGAGTGGATCTCACCGCGGAGATGATCAGTGCCCCTCTGGGTGACTTCCGCCACACCATGCACGTGGGCCGGGCTGGAGATGCCTTTGGGGATACCTCCTTCCTCACCAGCAAGGCAGGTGAGGCTGATGGTGAGTCCCTGGATGAGCAGGCCTCGACGTCGTCATCTTCCAAACGCAGCCTCCTATCCCGAAAGTTCCGGGGCAGTAAACGGTCACAGTCCGTGACCCGAGGGGACCGGGAGCAGAGAGATATGCTGGGCTCCCTGCGAGACTCAGCACTGTTTGTCAAGAATGCCATGTCCCTGCCTCAGCTCAATGAGAAGGAAGCCACTGAGAAGAACTCCAGCAAGCTACCCAAGAGCCTGTCATCCAGCCCTGTGAAAAAGGTAGATGCTGGAGACAGTGGCCAGGAGACAGGCTCAGGGGAGCTGGGTCCTCATCGGAATGGGGCCACAGGCCCCCATTCTCCTGACCCACTCCTGGATGAGCAGGCCTTTGGGGACCTGACAGATCTACCCATTGTGCCCAAGGCCAGCTATGGGCTGAAACATGCTGAGTCTATTATGTCCTTCCACATTGACCTGGGGCCCTCCATGCTGGGCGACGTCCTCAGCATCATGGACAAGGACGAGTGGGACCCAGAGGAGGAAGAGGATGGTGGTTACCATGACAAAGAAGGCCCCAGCAGCATGGTCCAGGCTCCCCCTTTGCTAGAGGTAGCTCCTCCAATAGGAAGACATGAAAGCAAGGCTGGCTCGGACCAGGCCTCCATGCTGCCCCCACATGCTCTGGAAGATGATGGGTGGGCAGCAGCCGCCCCCAGCCCCAGCTCAGCACGCAGCGTGGGCAGCCACACCACACGGGACAGTAGCTCCCTGTCCAGCTGCACCTCGGGTGTCCTGGAGGAACGCAGCCCAGCTTTCCGAGGCCCAGACAGGGCCCGGGCTGCTGCCCCAAGGCAACTGGACAAGGAATTCTCCTTCATGGATGAGGAGGAAGAGGAAGACGAGATCCGAGTTTGAGGCGGGACAGAAAGTTAACAGTAGTTTCCACAACTCTGGGCTGCATCGTGTCCCTGTTGCTGCCTTCACTGTGACCTTTGACCTTCCTGTGTAGGCGCAGCTAAGAACCTCATTGGAGTAGACCCTGGACCTCACGGATTGGAAACCAGGGAGGTAGCGTGGGTACTGATGGCCTGACTCTGACCTGTTCTTCCTCTACTGAAGCAGCTGGGACAGAGCCGTGTCCCAGCAGGAATCCACTCTCCTCTGTCTGGGCCCCAGTCGGACGCCAGATGTTAGTTCGCTTTCCTGCAGCAATGTCAGGGCAGCCAGGTGTGGCCTCTCTCGAAGGTCATGGACACTTGGTTTCTTTTTATCACCTGGTGTCTGGTGCCTACCTGGGAGGTACATGCAGCAGGAGGCAGGTGTGGCTACACATCCCGGCTCTTCGTTCTCTACCCCTGGCTCCTTGCTGGAAGCCTGGTGCTCTTTGGGATCCGTTGGAACCAGGGCGGGCCTCACCCAATACACTAAATGCAGTCCTTCCCAAGGGCCAGGACGGTGGGGGACAGAAGGAACTCCCCCGGCCCCCAGCTTCTTGGGTTTTCAAGAAGGGGCCCTTCCTCGGTGACACTAGGAACAGGAAGGGCTATCTCTGCCCTACAGGTGCATTTGTTTGTTTGTTGTTGTATGTTTAAACGCGAATAGAGCTACCAGGAGAATATAATCCTGTTCACAAGATTGTCTTGGTGGCACAGTGACTGTTAGCTTACTAACCCTGGCTGTACAGACCCTGTCCAGGTTGAATTGGGGGCAACCATCACCAGTGTTTGTTCATGAACCCCACATCTGTAGCTGTTAACAGCTGAATGAAGACTATGTAGGAAAGTTCTGGAAAATGATGGTTAAGTAATTCATTGTTCCCCGGAGTGTGAGCTGTGTTTTTGACTGGGTGTTTCCCTCCCTGCTGCCCTACTCTGTGGGGAACAGGGTCTTCTTCTATTCTCAGCCTCTCCCGACTGCCCAGGCCAAGACTGGGGTCAGCTAAGAGCCAGACTGAGCAAGACTATATTCAATTTGAACTCCAGGTTAACAAAAGTGGGTTTTGTTTGTTTGCTTTTTGAGACACGGTCTCCCTCTGTAGCCCAAGCTGGCCTCAGATTGGCAGCAAAGCCTCTCTTTCCCTGGGAGCTGAGGTTACAAGCATGCACCAGCAGCCCTGACTGTGTTTGTCTGAAATCTGTTTTGCTCGGCTCCTGTAACTCTACCCAGGACATGAGTAGAAGCAGGGGCCAGAGCCCAGGGGTGGTGGTTCATTACTTTGCTGCTCTGACTGGGAACAGGCTGGCCCACCTCCTGGTCTAGCACAGCCAGTGGGAGTCAAGAGAGAGCAAGCTAAATTGTAATAGGATTCTGGCCAGATGAGGGTAGTGGCCTGCCATGGGCTGCTCTGCTTCCAGAGTCCTCCCAGATCCTGACCCGGAAACACTCACTGGGCTCCTGACTGGTGCTCCACGGAACTGTGCCTCTGGCCACCAGCACACGCACCCCTCCCAATCTACCCGGTCAGTTCTAGACTCTAAACTTTGTATTTTTTCCATGACATTGATAAAGCAGTAAGAAAACATTAAAATTTCCTCCTAGCAGCCCTGGTGTCTTTTTGTCTCCTTCCTGGGGTTCTTATTTCAGGATGTGGGGAAGCAGCTGGACACACCCAATCCACAGAAGAAAGGACAGTGAATGCCAGTGCTCAGCTCACTTTACTTTTTTATACAGCCTAGGAGCCCAGCCCAGGGAGAATGGTGCCACCTATAGTGGGTGGGTCTCCTGTCTCAGGTAAGCCAGGCGCTCTCTCTCTCTCTCTCTCTCTCTCTCTCTCTCTCTCTCTCTCTCTCTCTCTCTCTCTCTCTTTCTCACACACACACACACACACACACACACACACACACACACACACACACACGTACATCCAGAGTCCCCTCTCCCAAGCAATTCTTGATCTCCTCAAGTTGACATTGAGATGAATGAACCATTACAGTCAACCAGGGGCTCCTGACCTCACGAGTCTCAATGTAGCTTCTCGTTTCCTGCTTGGGGCCATCCCATCTTCAGGCCTTTTGGAGGACAAAGCCTCATGGGCTCAGCTTGAGCAGGCCCTGCAGTCCACACTGCTAGGGACCAGTTGGGGGCCCTTGGTCACTGAGCTCTGTTCCTTGGCCCTTTCTGTAAAGTGGAGGGGCTGCTGCTTTTTGGGGTGGGTTGGACCCCGTAGCACAGGGTCTATTCTTGTGTTCCTGGGAAGGGGCTGCCCTGTCCCAAGGCCCTGGGAATCGTTCAGGGTACTGCCACCCCCAGGACTGCAGAGAGCGCAGATAAGTGAGGAATGGAATGGGCCCTCCTTCCCTTTCTACCATTTGCCTTGGAGAATAGACTTCCAGATGGTATGCTTTGGGCTCAGCCTCAGTGCTCAGTCAGGAGAGCCACTCAGGTCACTGGAGCCACACCGAAGCCGTGCGCCAAAGCTGCAGGATGACGTGGAGATGATCATGAATTGACAACCTCTGCCCCTTTCACAACCTCCCCCGGGTGCATCTCTGGAAACAAAGTCAGGGTGCAACCGCCCTGAGTGTGGGAACCAGGTGACCCCTCCACCCACAGTCCTGGCTCCTGTCACAGACCCCGCCTCTCACACCCACACTCACAGCCTGGGGTGGCTCTAAGAAGAAGCGCGGCCTGGATAGGGCCCCTGCTTGCTCCTTGGAAATGTAAGGAATCCTTGAGCTGAGTTCTGGCTGAACCCTCTGAGGTTCTGCTGAGAAATGTGGCTTCCTATTCATTCTTTCCCTGGGAAGTAATTAAAGGCATCATTAGCGTGTCACCCATGTCTCTTCTGTCCCCAGACAGGCTCATTAAGGCTACTGAGAGACAAGTTTTAATGAGGAGTTAAGAGCAGGGTGGGGCACACAGGAGCCCTCTGAGAATATCTGGACCACTCTGACCTGAAGCCTGTCTTCAGTGGTTTGGGTAAGAAGGAACTATTGGGGTAATAGAACAAGAGAAGTCCTTCCCTCCCAGGCCCTCTGTCCACCCTGGACCAGCCTAGGGCTCTTAGGAATCCAGAGGCCAGCAGGTCTGGCAGCAGCTCTGATGGGCTCCACAGGCCCAGGGGATGCAGATAGGAGAGCCTCCCTGCCAACTCTCTGCCTTCCAACTCACGTGGCTGGTTGTTCTCAATCACTTTGCACTGACAATGCATTGGACCGGTATGTTCACTGAGCCACAACGCCCCCTGCGTATGGATTATGTTACGGTTGGTAGAAGGCCCTTCTTTTACCACCCTGCCTTGGTCTCTCGAGAAACCTAGGGGTTCACACAGCGAGCCACACCCCACCCCCTTCTCAGGTAGTCCTTGTATTCTGACACGTCTCGTCCTCGTGTCTCAGCATCCAGAAGGCAGGTGTGACCCACTGGTCCTTCTTCAGGCCCCGGATGCTCCGTAGGATCTCTTCTACCTCAGACAACTTGAAACTGTCATTCTAAGTCAGCTCTCAGTTAAGATTTCCCATAACCTGAGGGGACCCCAAGGCTTCTGGCCCAATAACAAGCCACCATGGGGCCTACTGCCTGCCCTGCCTGGACCCGGCATTACTCCGGGTGGGCTCGTTCCCTAGCACCCCAGGGTGTTCTTTTTCTACGTCTTGGACCCATACTATGCTGTCCTGTCCTACTAATGCGATAAGGGGTGTGTGTTTGTGTGACTGCCACACATCAGGACCAGTCTTAGTATTTGGTCTCTCAAGTGTCATGCAACCTTTATGAAATCAACTTCTTTGAAATTATGTTTATTTGGGGGGGGGGCTGAAGGGAGGAGTGTGCCACAGTGTAGCTGTAGAGGTCTGATGACAACGGTCAGGGGTTGGCGCTCTGCTCCCACCGTGTGTGTTGCAGGGATTGAACTCGGCTCCACTTAGACGCAAACACCCTTACCCACTGAGCCATCTAGATGGCCAGAGCACACCTGATGAGGCAGCTTAAGATGGAGGAACTAACAAACCCCATGCAATGAGTGAAGGAGCTGAGGAGCGAGGCACACCGGGAATGGCCGCTGTCGTCATTGCTCACAACCGCTAGGCCCTTTAGCAAACAATACGCACCGGGACCCAGAATGGCCAGGTGAGCACAGTGCCCAGGGTACTGCACCTGGCAGAGGCTGGGCTGGCAGCCCCACTGGGGTTTAAAATCTGGCTTTTCAGTGACAACTGTTCACTCACTGAATGGCGGCTGGCTCTGGCCACCAGACAGTGCTAAGTCCCTTCGCTTCCCAGGTTCACCTCGTCTGTCCCACCTGAGCCAGGCTGGTCCCGGGCAATCAGTCATCAAGCCCTTCTTTGCCTCTGGAGCCCCACAGCGTCAGATCTAAATCTAAGCTGGTCCCATGTGTTCATCTTTGGTCCCATCATCCCGCATACCCAATCCTCTCCACCAAGACTCACAACACATCCTTGGGAGGAAGCAGATGGAAGGGATGGAAGTCAGGGTCTTTTCATCCTGGGGACTCCTGGCGTCCTCTAAGCCTCAATCTGTTTCCCAGCTGCCCCCATGTTGGAAGGCAGAGGCTGGAAGAAGGGACTGGGGAGAAACACAGCAGAGATAGAGAAACTTGCCAGGCGGGCTGGCTCTGGTTCATCGAGCTTGGGGTGAGAGGAACACATGGAGGCTTGGGCCCTGTGCATCCGAACCGGGAGGACTTCAGGAACTCAGAGATGGAGGGGGATGGCCTTCACAGGGGTGCATGTACCACTGTCCTCCCAGCCCTGGGAGCATCCTGGAACAGCTCTTCAGAGCTGTTCTATCCATACCTGAACAGCTAGTCCTACAGCCCTAACCTGTGCACATCCATCCCCACCCAAGGCTCTGATGTAGGAGACAGGAAAAAGTTAGGGATAAAAAGAACATTAATCTGCTCACCCATCCTTCTCCCTTCACAAGCTCCGATAAACCCTGAGGCTTCCTGCCCTCAGCAGATGGGAAACCATGAAGAGTGATCTGGGGGAGGAAGTCAAGCTTGCCGGCAGATGGATGTTGGTGGTTTGGCCTCTGCAACCTGTTGCCCAGTCCCACTCAGCTGCTGTTCCTTCCCCTGGAGAGAGGCTCTTGGGAGGAGAGGGAAGGAGTCAATGGCCGCCCACTCCAGGAATCCAGTCCTAAAGTTACACTAGGTAATAACAAAGACCACAGGGCTCTGCTGAACTGCTTTCTTTATGCCCCAGTCTGCTCCAGCAAGGTCTGGAGGCAGCTTATGAAGTTACACAAATTACAATAGGATAAAAATAGAGCAGCAGGAAAACAATGCTGGAACAAATAGTCCCATAAACCAAGTACCCGGTGGGCCTGCACTGGCTCTGGGCTCTCTGTCAAGGGCGGGAAACGTCCTGCTCTCATTTGTTGGTTGACAGGGTCAGGAGGAATGGATGTAGATCAGTTCGGTGGTTTTCTGTTTATTTCTTGACACTAAAGCCTAAGAGGAGTTTTCGTTTTGGTTTGATTTCGTTTTTTTAAGAGCACTTGTTCTTACAGAGGACCTGAATTCAATTCCCAGTACCCACGTGGTAGCTCACAACCTGATCCCAGGGAGGCAATGCCCTGTTCTGACATCTGTGGCACAAGGTGCACACAGTACACATACATGCACGTAAAACACACACACACACACACACACACACACACACACACACACACACACGTAAAATAAACCTAAAAATTAAAAAAAAAAAAAAGCTGGGTATGGTGGCCCACGGCTTTAATCCCAGCACTTGGGAGGCAGAGGCAGGCAGATCTCAATGAGTTTGAGGCCAGCCTGGTCTACAGGGTGAGTACCAGTCCAGCCTGGTCTACATAGTGAAACCCTGTCTCAAAAATAAATTGATAGACATAAACTGATAGGTATTCTTGCCCCTTAGGAAGAGCCATTTAGCTGAGCCCCTTTCTGGATTAAATCCTTAGCCATGCCCCTCATGAAAGAAATGTGAACAGCAGAGGAGGTGACTTCCTCAGTCATTTTTCATTCATTCATTCATTCATTCATTCATTCATTCATTCATTCATTGTGTATGCATGTAATACGTGCATATGGCACTCATGCCCTGACATATGTGTGGAAGTCAGGACAGCCTCTCCTTCCACCTTTATATGGTGTATAACACGTTAAATAAAAGACCCAGAGACAGAGATTGGGGTTCAAGCTTCAAGTTGAAGATCAGAGAAGCAAAGCAGCCGAGCCAGCAGACCTTAGCTCTACCCACCCAGCTGAAATGGCAATCCTGTCTCCACAAATCCTCAGAGGCAAAAGCCTCTCCTCCGTTCCTGTCTCCTCCTGCCTTTTATTCCTTTCTCTGCCCAGCCGTACCTCCCTAGTGCTGGGATTATCTTTGTGTGAGCTGTTTCTTTTAGGATCAGTTCCGAGTAGTCAGTGTGGCCTTGAATTAACAGAGATCTGCCTACTTCTTAACCCGAGTCCTGGGATTAAAGGTGTGCACCTCCACCTCCTAGCGCTATAGCTCACTGTTAAGGCTGCTTTGCTATTTTGACCTCCAGTGGCTTTAATAAATCATACACAATGTATCACTACATTGTGGGTTCCAGGGAT